TTTTCAATTTGCCAAGCGGAGATTGACTCAAAGTTAAGTGAGTATTTCAGGTCAAGTTTTACTTGAACAGTCTGGCTGTTTACTTCCTGATTTCATTCTGCTGAGTATATGAAGATTCAGCTTGAGGTATGTCTATACTGGCTAGAAGAGACTGGGGGATGTTAATCATGCCTTCTAAACGAGGGTCCTAATAAATGTCTGCTGTTGGTGAACATTATGGAATCTGACAGAGAGGAGATTTTCTTTTTAATTTGTTTTGTTGCTGTTAGAGAGAAAGAGAGAGCGCGTGCGCATGGGTGTGTGCACGCGGAGTGGGGGGGAGGGTCAGAGAGAGAGAGAGGAGGCGAGAGAATCTTAAGCAGCTTCCACACTCAGTGTGGAGCCTGACGCAGGGCTGGGTCTCTCGACCCCGAGATCACAACCTGAGCTGAAATCAAGAGTCAGACGCTTTACCCACTGAACCACCCAGGCGCCCCTACAAAAGAGATTTTCTGAAGATAGCTATTTTGATCAAATCATCACGCTGTCACTGGCTCACTGGACAAAGACTCTGAACGCAGCCAATGTGTGCCATATCACCAAGCCCTCTTTAAATAACAAAATCTTATTTTTATTTTAATTTTTTTACAGAAATTCAGATATTCCAACAAATTTCTTTACATTTCCTGGACCTTAAAAAAATTACACACAACTTTTTGGACACAATACAACAGAACAGAATGAGAAAGGGAGTCACATTTTTTTTTTTAAAAGATAAAAACATACTTCTTAACACTTAGTGATTTACAGGTGTGTTACCTATGTACAAATGGTACATCATCAGTGACCCATCCTCAGAGCGCTGCGGTATGCTAAATTACACTTAGGTTTTATGGGAAAAAATTTTACAAAACATTTGTGTGTGGATAGGAAGCACTTTTCCATTTTCGTAAACATCACTATCAGTGATGTAGGACTCCCAGTGGAGTCCTAAATCTGTAATTTACATGGATTAGAGAAAACCAACGCTTTCTAATTTTCTTGTAGATAGAGAGGTACCTCCCTTTAAATAAAAGATGAATTCTTGAAAAGTTGTGTGTAATTAAATTTAGTAAGGAGGGTGTTGGGAATGCAGCAGGAGAGCTAATATTTAATGTTAACAGGTAACTCCCAGAATGGCTAATACTTTAGAGATAATAAGTATTTCCTTAATGTGGTTCTTTAGAAAACCCATATCTTTGTGATTTGGGGATCACTCATTTAAGCATACCTGTAATATACTCTTAGCCGTTTAAAACATAATCTCATTTATGGTGAGAAGATAGCTAGTACTAGGAACATTTGGCCAGAATGGGAGTGTTGTCTTAATAGAGACAGGGAATAAGACATCACCTCCTACCTGTATCACTTTTTGTCTTATCTTCCATCTGGTGTTCCAGGGATGTATGCTAATTTGATCTTAATTTTGAGTCTAAAAATGAAGGCATTCTACATGTCCGTGTTTTCTGCTTGGGTGTAGGACATGGTTTGGCTCACCCTGATTACTCCCCCCGCATGTACGTTTGAAGCTTGTGCCCATTCTCAAGAAGTTGGCTACTTCAGTATTACGTATTTTCCTGCTGTTGCATATTGGCAAGATATGTGATGAGGGTGATTGGGGGGAAGCCTGGGAGCAAAACATTGCTGAAGACAACTGACCAGTTTTAACTACTTCCAAATGTCAACCAACTCAAAGCAATCTGAGTATTCTTGAAAAACCAACATTAGTAAACAAACAGGCAACTTACTCCTACCAAGTTTCTTGACCTGTATAAGTATATATTCATTTATTTCTAAGGCTATTATTATTTATTTTGTTAGTACCACTTACTATCATTTAGAAATAGGTTTAATGGAATGATTTTTTTCTTAAACAGAAATGAGTACCTGTGAGTAAGGGAAAGAAAGGCTGTGGATTTCTGATGACATGTACAGCAAAGAAATAGAGGGAAAAAAAAGAGGAGAGCTTTTAGATGCCTATTTATAAAGTATATTAAATTCCTATGCATTTACTAGGGAGAATTAGAGAAAAGTGTTTATTTGATAGCAGCCTATATATTACATGTGAGCATCCAAGGTGAAAATGAGCTTTCTATATTTTTCAGCGTTCCTTGATGCTGTTTCCTGAAAGATAGGGGTAGCTATGTTGCTCGGGGACCTATGATGTAAAGATGTACTTCCTGTAATATACAGCTTGATGGAGTTTTAGAGTACACGTCAGAAACAGTTTCTCAGTAATAACTTGTACAGACAGATTAAACTGAACACAGACTCCATAAAAAGTTTGAAGTGTTACATCTCTTAACGGAGTGGTTGTAACTAATTACACAGTGAAATAAACACACGGCAGAGATGGGGAACCAAAGATCAGGGCTCCTGTGAAAATACGCAGAGGCATTTTCCTAAGCTGTCTTCCTCTGTAAATGATGCTTGATCAGCCTCTTGGCTGTTGAGAGAGGAATAATTTAGGATTGACTGCCTTTTTTTTAAAATAAGGTTGAAAGATTAAAGCTTTTTGTTTTCGGTTTGATTAAAAAAGGACAGTTTACAAACCTCAGTACATATATATATTTTACATGTTAATTCTAGCACGTTTATATTCCTCTTTCTTAAAATATTTCCTGAATGTGATTTCTGATGAATGTGATCTGATCTTATTCGATGATAGCTTCCCTTGAGCTGGTGTTTAATCCGCTATCACAACTCCTTCCAGAAAAATCACTCCCATCTCTGCCCGTCCAGATTTAGAAGGTGCCTTGACAAGTAGATGGTTCACTCTTGTCCAGATGTGTCTCTGTACTCTGATTTCTCCCAAGTCTTCCTTCTTGATGTTGATGTACAAAAGCTCTTATTCAATTTGTTTAGCTGTTATTTGATTTGTTTTGTGCTCATTCTAGAGAATATTGGCTTAGCAGAACTGCAGAAAGGGGCGGGGGAGGAGGGGGAGGAGAAAGAGAAAGAGAAAGAAAAAATGCATCATTTTCGGTCAGCAAGATTTTTGTGCATAGCTGTCACAGAAAAACCACACCAGCAAATGGTTCGAAGGCACTTTAGATTTGTTATCAGAGATGACTGAAAAGTTTGAGGCTCCTGTTCCATAAACAAACAGCACAGTCTTCCGGCAAGGGAGCCCCCCATCACCCAGACATGTGTGTTCCCCACATCTGGGTGAAGATTATAGGCTGCTTTGAAGGAGCAAGGAAGAATGTGAAATGATCCCAAGCGGCAAAAATTTTTCTGCCTGGCACAGAAAATGTCTCACTCGAGGGTTTTCCTTTGCTTTCCAAGTGTTATTTATTTATTATACAATCAACTTTGTAACAGCTGCAAAGGAGACATTGCTTTCTTCCCTATGTATCTTTCTGTTCAATATCTAAATGTGCGCTTATTTTATACAGTTGGAATCACAGAATAGATGACATTTTTAACATATTAAAAACAATTTTTTACGTTTCCACTCTGCATCATCAGCATCAATTTCCTTTTCTTTTTATTAAAGATTTTTTATTTTGAAGTAATCTCTACACCCAACATGGGACTCGAACTCACAACCTCGAGATTAAGAGTTGCATGCTCTACTGACTGAGCCTGCGAGGTGCCCCATCAGCATCAGTTTCCAAGAGCTGCAGAATATTCCATTCCATTCTCATTCCTTTCACTCCATGCCCAGTATCCCATTCTCAACCGTTTGGCCACTGGCAGATTGTAGGTAGATCTCCCATTTTTTTTTTTTTATCAAGAATAAATATCTTTGCTATAAAGCTCTGTTTGTTCCTTTAAATTCTTTCTTTAGGACAAATTCTCAGGGGATAAGCTGCTTTTCCTTTTGTCCAGCACAGTATTAGGGACGATTCCTGAACTGATACAACTAGACTACAAATAGTATGATTGACTCCTTTCTTTGGATGATTTCCATACACTTTGGCACTGTTAACCAGGGTTTAAGGGTCCCTTACATATTGTGGAGATGGGTAAATGCATCTAGATGGCCAGATTTGGGCTGAAAGGAAACAGCCTGTTGGGTTTTCATCACAGAGGACTTAGAAACTACAAATGATAATAAAACAATTGGTCCGTTATTTAGTTACAGCCCCCGTTCCACATCACAAGATAAGATTATGGTTTCTGAATGAGTGCTAGAGAAGCCTCTGGAAGATTCTGTCGTTTCTAGCATTTATCCCCTTGTTGTTTTCCAATACACTTTAAAACACTTTAAAATATCTTATGCACATTATGGTTCTAATGAACTTCTCTCAGCGAGAGAACTCAGTTGCTTTAATGTACCCAGACTACACAGGGGATAATTGAAATGTGATCATGTCCTAATGATGATTAATCTGTAATGATTCTCTGAGATTGCATCATGCTGGTAGAAGCCCTATGGAAGGGAATGCTTTCTTCGGATATTATTAAAAGCAACAAAGGCAACCCGTGGGTTTTACACACAGCTATAGGTGCTTCTGAACCTTGAGCGCTCGCTCTCTGTTCTGCTGCCCCGGAGGTGGTCTTGCCAGATGGAATCCAAAGTCGGGTTTGTGTGTCCGCGATTCCACTGCTCTAGCATTCTTCACTCCAAATATTTTTGTATTGCAAATGCACAGAGCAAAGTGTCTGGGTTTTCCACTAAAATCCATGAAAGGTTCTAGCTGGGGTGGGGGAGAGGGCGGAGTGGGTGCAGGTTATAAATACATTAAGCAGAAGAGGGGAATGGGTTTTGAAAATGTGGGTATGCGCACGGAAGAGCAGGTAGCATACGGAAGTGCCAGGGCCCTATTTGTGTGAAGCAGGGGAAGAGGGAGGCAAGAAGATAGCCCTCATTTTCTTGATGTCTGCAAATAAATATACCGCTGATTTCATGATAGAAAAGCCTGCTTTGTTGTGAACCATCTGTTGGCATCCAGGAACCAGAGACTCCCACTTTTTCCCTGGCTCTAAGCTGCCTTGATTTGGCTTTATGACATCACAGCGGGCTGGGAAGAGAGCAGACAGGGCTGGAGGGGCTTTCAATCAGCAACCCCCTGGTCCCCCCAGCACTGACAACTAAGCCTGAGGAGGAGAAGGCAGCTTCCTGCCGGGTAGGCACCTCCCTGGGAAGATCCTTAGCCTTCTTGTAGGAAGGTAACTGCTGGAGCCAATCTCACAAGGTTCCTGTTCACACCCCACCATCGGGGGTCTAACTCAGTTAGTGGCTGCCCAAGGGGGTTCAGTCACCACCAATCCTTCTTGGATCTGCTGCCATCTTGGGTCACCCATACCCTCCATGTGACCAAATCCCTCACTGGATCCCTCACTGACCTCACCATTGATTAGTCATTTTCCCTCTTCAAGGTCTCTTCTTTGTTGACTTTGTTAGCCTTGGAACTGCACTCCCCACCTGCAGTGTCAAGGCTGGGCAGGGAGCTGAGGAGTGAACGGGAAATGAGAGGAGCGAGAGAGCCAGGCTGGACTTGGGTGGGGCCGGGGAGGCTCCCAGGGCACAAGACTGAAGGAGGCGCTCACTCTCCGGCGAGGGCCTCCTGCCATTTTGCCCATGAGGGAGTTGCTCTGCCTCATCCTGAGCCGGCCGCTCGTCACGGGGCCTCCTGGGAATATCTGCTCGGAGTCTGAGCTCCTTAGACATTCTGGACACCGTGTCTTTTTTTCTTTCTAGTGCCTGACACCACCATGCAACAGGAGTCCCAGGGTACTTGAGAATCCCGCAGACTGCAAGGCGAAAAATAACCAGCATGTTCGAGCTGGTGGGGACTGGAACACAAACACCCCCCCACAGTATCAGGGAAACACTTTGCCGGGAGCAGCAACGTGAGAATGCCACTAGGATGACTTAACTAGGAAGCGCAGCGGGGCATCTCCCACCTGACGGCTTGGGCAGTGTGGGCCCTGCACCCAGATTTGGGAAGCTGGTCGGTGGAAGAAGATGAAAGGCAGGGTTTCCCTCTCCGGATGTGGCCATCATTTCCTCAGGCCAACGACTGGGACATCAGGGCTGTCTGCAGAAGGGCGTGTGGTTACGCTGTGATCCCTGCTTTGTAAAACACTGTTTCTTTTCTGAACTTTCGCTCACATTTCCCATGCACCATGCCTACTGCATAGATCAGGGGAGGCAATTTAACAGATGTCATATTCTCCCGGGTTTGTACAGAGCAGGACTGAATAAATAAGTCATTCAACACTGCTCTGGATCTTTGTTCAGTTGGGTTTGTCCTTGTAACACGTCATGGGGCTCTGAGTTGCCCATGTTCCATTTCTAAAGGGCTCTTTGCAAATCCTTTGCGGAGCTGTCATTTGAATCGCTGCTGCTCCGGAGAGCACCATTTATAATGGCCACATTGTCCAGACTATCTAAATGCTGCGTTGTTGCATTTTCTCTGTGTTTGCGGACTTTGAAAGGTCTCCTGTGGTCCGCTTCTGCTCATTGTTCCTATCAACCCATTCAATTAGGGCCCGGAGCCCCCACTGCCCCAGGATAGCTGGGCGGGGAGCGGGCAGGGGTCGGAGTGAGAAAAACGCTTGGTGGGAGCTTTTAGCACAATGGCTCCCGAATCTTTGTTGTGAAAATGAAGAAGGGAGGCATTCCAGACCATTTTTTCTCATTGGCTCTATAAGCTTTGTCATTTCTTCCCACTCCATTGTTTCAAACCACACCCACCTCTCACGGGGCCTCCTGACAGCCTTCCTGCCCAGGAGGCTGAAACAGGCCTCTGAAGTAAAGTCTCAATATCTGTGTCCCCAGGTGCTCTAGACGTGATGTGCCCCACGGTGGGCATAGCACGTTAAAGATAGCTGCAGATTCTTTAGCTTTCTTCTCCTTTGTGGTGTGTGTGTGTGTGTGTGTGTGTGTGTCTGTTCCTCTCCCTTTGAATCTGGGCTTTAAGAGACCTGGCAGTGGCGTCTGGGTGGCTCAGTCAGTTAAGCCTCCGACTGGTGATTTTGGCTCAGGTCATGATCTCATGGGTTGTGAGATCAAGCCCGGAGTCCAGCTCCCTGCTCAGCAGGGCATCTGTCTGAGATTCTCTCTCTCTGCCCCTCCCCCCACTCACAGAGCTCTCTCTCTCATCTCATAAATAAATAGATATTAAAAAGGAAAGAAAATTAAAAAAAAGAGTACTGGCAGTTTATTTTTTGTTGTGGCAAAACCACATAAAATAAAATTCACCATCTTAACCACTTTGACATATTACAGTTCAGAAGTGTTTAGTATATTCACATCGTTGTGAGACAAATCTCCAGAACTTTTCCATCTTGCAAATCTGAAACTCCATATCCCTGAAACAACACTCCTCTTTTCTCCCTTCCCCCGTTCCTCAGTAACTGCCATTCCTTCTGTTTCTACCAGTTGGACGACTTTAGATAGCTCCTGTGAGTGGAATCATATGGTATCTGTCTTCTCGTGACTCTGCAGGCTCAAGAGAAACTTCTGTCCCTCCCTTAACCACACAGAAGAATCTAAATTGGGGGTCTTTTCCAGAATAAGTTATTAACAAGGATCAATTTTATCTGAGTGACCCATCTGTATGGAAGGGCAAACATCTAATTATCAAACATTTGCTCTTCTTCCCACCCTATATGCATTCCCCTGATGTTCCAGGCCCCTACCCCCAGAATGATATCTATATCCCATTTTGCCCATCTTTGGGATTTCCATGTTTACGTGGATTCCCCGGAGTACACCTATTAAATTTTTTTTTTCTCCTGTCAATCTGTCTCACGGCAATTTGATTTTTAGTCCAGCTAGAAGGGATTTTGAGGGGACAGGAATTCCACCTCCCCGGTGTTTTATTTTTTTTACATATATTTTTTATTAAAAAATTTTTTTTAAATTTTTTTAAAGATTTCATTTATTTATTTGACGGAGAGAGATATAGCAAGAGAGGGAACACAAGCAGGGGGAGTGGGAGAGGGAGAAGCAGGCTTCCCGCTGAGCAGGGAGCCCCGCATCGATGCGGGGCTCGATCCCAGCACTCTGGTATCATGACCTGAGCCAAAGGCAGACGCTTAACGACTGAGCCACCCAAGCGCCCCATTCCCTGATGCTTTCTTGACATAAGAAAAGTCATTGTAGATCCCCAGATGTTTTGCGATTAATGCCTGACCAGCATCACTTGCCTAAGCACATATCTTGCAGAACTTCCTGGGATATGTGAAAACTGTAGAAAAAGAGACTTCAGTAGTTGATGATTTTAAGGGAACAGAAAAATGTAAAAAACAACAGCCACGACCAGGCCAGGAGGATAACCTCACCATATCAGAGACAATGAATTGGTGGTAAAACTCTAAGTGCTGTTTCGAAAGGAAAAATTGACCTCACACACATTCTTTGAGTTGTTTTTGCAGGATATAAGCCACTTTGAGCACTTGGACACTGGATTAATTGGAGCCAGAGACTGAATGATGCCGACCCTTGCCAGCCTTGTGACTTCAATCACCTAGGACCTGGACACTGTTAACTTACGATGACTTTTGCCCCAGTTTCATATGGGACGCTCCTTGGCCCGGCCCGTCCATGAATATGCATGTACTCTTAGCTTAAAACTGCTCCAATTTTGTTGTTCAGGGAGATGCTGCTTTGGGAAATATCCCTAGTGTTCTTACTTGTTGCAAGTGAAATCTTCCTTTTCTACTCTTTGGCCTGGTTTGTCTTTTGGCTCAGCACCCACCAAGAGGCAAACCCAATTTTGGGTTATAGTGCGATAAACACGGGTGTGCAAATACCTCTTCAAGACCCTGCTCTCAATTCTTTTGGATATATACCCAGAAGTGGGATTGCTGGATCATATGGTAGTTCTATTTTTAAATCTTCGAGGAACCTCCATATTGTTGCACCATCTTATGATCCTACCAATACTGCACAAAGGTTTCAATTTCTTCATGTCTCTCTGACACTTATTTTCTGCTTTTTTGGGGGGGATGGTAGTGTTAAAAGTAAAACTACAGGCCCCAAATGGTGTCAGTTGGGTTAAAGCCCTAAGTCAGTAAACCAAGACTTTTTTTTTTTTTTTAAGATTTTATTTATTTATTTGAGAGAGAGAAAGCACAAGTGGGGAGGAGGGGCAGAGGGAGAGGCAGAAGCAGACTCCCTGCTGAGCAGGGATCCTGACACAGGGCTCCATCCCAGGACCCCGAGATTATGACGAGTGCCAAAGGCAGATGCTTAACTGATTGAGCCATCCAGGTGCCCTCAGTAAACCAAGACTTAATCCTTAACCTGACTGCAATTTTTTTTTTAAAGATTTTATTTTTAAGTAATCTTTCTACACATAATGTGGGGCTTGAACCCACATCCTAAGATCAAGAGTCACACACTCCACTGAGCCAGCCGGAAGCCCCAACCTAACTGCAATTTTAACCTTTAACCAGTCAGCATGGGAATTACCTGGTCAGCAGAAGGAAACTTACTGACAGACCCTTTCCATTCTCCCGGGTGACCATGCCTAAAACAATGGATTCTTTGCTAGTAATTTCCCTTTTTCTGCTCCCTCTCTACCTTTAAAAACATTTTCTTTTCTGTACCCCTTTGGAACTCCCCTCTACTTGTGAGATCTGCCCAACTCATGAATCGATTAATAAAGCCAATTAAATCTTTAAGATGTACTGAGTTGAATTTTTGTAATGTAACAGTAGCCATCCTAATGAGTGTGAGGTGACATTGTACTGTGGTTTTGATTTGCCTTCTCTGATCATTAGTGATGTTGAACATCTTTTGAGTACAGGCAGTTTCTGATTCCTCTGCTGGAGCGACCACATGGGTGAGGCCGTGGTAGCACATGGAGAGGGAGAGAAGCCCAGCTGAGCCCGGCTCTCCAGCCTTCTATTCCAAGGGGCCCACATGTGAGTGAAGTCATCTTGGACCCTCCATGCCATTCAGCCACCTGCTGAAGGCTGCCAAGTGACCCTAGTTGATGCCACATGGAGCAGGAGACTTGCCCAGCTGGGCCCTTCCTGAATTCCTGATCCACACAATTGTGAGATATAACAAAAGTGGTTGTCAGTAGCAATCCTAATGGGTGTGAGTTTTTCCAGCAGAACTTTGCATGGTTTTAAGCCACAAAGTTTTGGGATAGTTTGTTAATGCGGCGTAGAGAGCTGGAACAGTGGGCAAATGCCCTTTCTCGGGCTGGTTTAGATTTGCTGTATTCAGTACACTGTAAATGACCAGTGTGGCTGGACAGCTGACACAGTGCTCCCGAGGCAGAGAGGGTGCCGCTGTCTCTGACTTGTTTTTCCCTCTTGACCCAGTTTCTAGAGAAGCAACATCTGAAACCCCAACTTCCACTTTCCTACTGCAGCCATAGTCTCTCTCCAGGCGATCATTAGTTTGTCCCTCTGACCACAGGGGTTTTGGATCTGGGCTGAAAATAAATGCATGCTCACAACATACTTTGGCACTGAATTAAGAAAAAAAGTCCAATACTGATTTTGGCTGCAGTTTGATTACCACTGGCTTTATAGGTGATCAGAGGGTCTGAATTTGTTGTAGTTGTTTGTTGTGTAGTTGACCAGTGGGTTGATGAAAGCCAGGGTGTACTTCACCTTCACGTGCTAAATCTTTACTTGCACGCCACTGTCCCACTCACAATCCCCACCAGCACACTCCCGAGCCCCGACCGCAGCACTGTAGGAAGACAGCCGGATAGGAAGCTACCTCCCAGTCACCAGCCCGTCTAGATTCTAGAGTGGGATGGTGGTGTGCAAGTAAAGAGTACAAGCCGGAGGGAGAGGCCGAGGGAGAAGCAGACTCCCAGCCTAGCAGGGATCCCAGTGAGAGGCTCAATCACCGGACCCTGGGATCATGACCTGAGCCAAAGGCAGATACTTAACTCATGAGCTACCCAGGTGCCCCCTAGTTAACCTACTTTCAATCTCTGTTTTATATAGAGGACCTAAATAAGAACTGTACGCCTGACCTGTAGCCTTTATAATTCTGCCCCTTCTGTTGTCTTCCTCAGAACAAGAGTCAGGTTTCTACCTGAGTCTGTGTCTCCCGAATTGCAATTCTAACTGCCCAAATAAATGCCCGTTGGCTTAAATTTTCAGGGAATTCTTTCTCGGTCGACACAACAGAGGAGTTAAGAAATAGAAGAGGACCTCCCTGTCCCTGCCAATAATCCACCAGGTCAGTGCTTCTCAAACCTCAATATGTCTCAGAATCACCTGGTAATCTTGTGAAAAATGCAG